TCATGCAGGTGAGACACTAGCTTTCAGGCCCTGGCCCAGGATTGAGTGTTGTGGGATGAGCGTATTTGCAAGTTACTAATTAGTCCCATTTGCAGCAGCCGCCTGGACCATAGCGGAGGGTGACTTTGACAAAGTGCCGGGGCTGAAATACACTCTAAGCTTCAGCACTGCAATACTGCTGTAGCGATTAAATGTTGGAAGGGCTAATGGTCGGAGCCGGAGTGGGGGTATGAGGAGGATCTATCTGACCCAGTCTCACGTGGGTAGCATCCTGGCTCTATTTCGTCTAACATGTCTCTTTATCCTGCTTCTTAATCCCAAATTGAATCTACAAGGTGCCCTTGGAGGGGCAGTATAAGTCCCACCACCTGAAGGTGTTCATAAGGCTTCATTGCGGCAATGTGTATTGATTGATAGCATGTTGTTTGGTTTGAAGGTGAGGCTGAATTGTGATTTTTTTTTTTCTTCCGTTGTTGCTAAAGACTGTGTTCTAATTGATGGCGGGCTCAAGGAGGTTTGTGAACAGCTGCTTCCTGTTCTGCACACCTTGGCGATATGGCAAGTCCTTCAGAGACAATTATCCACGCACATTAACAGAGGGCAGAGCATGCATGCTAACAAACCTTCAATGGCTGGGATAACAAAGGAAGAATTTGGTCCGCAGGAGGAGCGGCGTAGCTGGGTGAGAGGATTAATTACACTCTGAAGGGAGCATTTAAAATGTGAACTGGCTTGCCTCTCCAAAAGACACAGCTGAATATGACAGGTACTCAGGCGATAGAAGGCTGGGCAGACGGAGCCTTCTGACCATCTAATTAGATTGAAAACGCTCAAATAAGAAGAAAAGGCCAATTCTAATACTTGTGTACTCGGTGGTAAAACCTGGAGAAAATTCACACGCCGGGGTCAAGAGGAGACGAGACTGCTGTGATCAGCATGTGATTAGAACATTATTACAGCACATTGGGAAAAAAAATGTCACGTGTGCTTAGGTTCCCTGTGCTGCTGGGGCTCCAGAGCCTCTGCTGTTTTGACGCCTGCACTAAATCGAGAACATTACAGCTGAAGGCTAGATATAAATCAGGCTGCCACCTGCTGTTCAGGCAGGTAATATAGAGTGGAAGAGGACATTTATTATGATTATTTTTTTTTAATTCTTATCTGAAAAGACACACAATACTGTGTGTGTGTACACAAAGTCACAAACAATTTTTTTTTTGTCAGCAAAATCTAATCTAGAATAGTCTTTATGTTTCTATCTATCCATCCATACATCCATCCCATCACCGGGTTAATCATCATTGGTTGTATCTTTCCAACTTTCCATCCATCCATCATCCACCTTCCAACCAACCAACCCATCCATCCATTCAGCCTTTGTTAAAAATTAAACATATAAAGGCAGTGATGATCCGATCTGTCAGATTATAAACAGTGAATGGAGCCATTCACTGTTAATAATCTGACAGATCAGTGACCTGTGTGACCTGTGATCACACTGTAATCCCTCCATTGTCACATGATAATAAACCACTTGGGCTAAAGGTTTTATTTCCTGTTTGTATGGGGCTGGCCGTTTGTTATGGGATCCATCCCTCGTAAGTGGCCCGCCCGTGGGCTTAGCAAATCACATCCTGCACCCTTCATGTTTGAGTGTTCATCACCTTCATCAGAAACCTCTCATACAGCTGCACTCAGAGCCAGAGGGATTTCCTCCCGACGTCTGCACTTTTTATTCATTCTTCCCAAGACAAATGTCACTTTTCTCGTCTTCAGCTCGGGGGGAGCGTGGCCCTAGCCGTCTGCCGCTAGTGTTGTGGAGACAGCGAGATTAATGCCCAGCTACGATGTGTCTGGCTTGCACCGGAGGCAAAAAAAAAAAAGGGAGTCGGAACGCATTGCGAGGCTGCGGCGTTTATACCGACAGAAGGATTTTAATCATCGCTTCTCCCCAGGAATGACACCAGCGCCGCACGGGGTAACAGAGATAGAGAGCGAGGAGGGCTGGCACCCAGCAGACAAACAACAGCCTCGCAACATCATCGGCGTGTGGATTAGCACCGTCGCTCTGTGTGAAAAGTGTCTGCTTCTGGCCAGACGAGAGCAGAAAACATGATGCTGGCTCTTTATCTGAGCCGGTATCAGGATTCATAGCATCATTAACCACTACCAGTGTCTCTGAGGCTCCTACACACCAGGGCTGATATTAAATAAGTATATCAATAGTGTTTGTGTGTGCGTGTGTACAAACGGTATCTGAAGCCTTTAGTGAGAACAATTGTTTGTCCCTCTGCTGCTTGCAAAAAAAAAAAAAAACTTGTTATTTTCCTCCCTTTCTTCTACCTTTTAGCAGCCACATTTGCTGCTGTCATTATACTGCAGTTCAACCATTATCCAACTTTTCCCTCGACTTCACCTAAATCTTTAAAGATGCCTCTTTTTAGTCGAAGCCTCCCTTCTCTGTCGCCGTGTTGGCATTGTAGAGAAAAAAAAAAAAAAAAACTCTGTTGTGTTTAGCGCATATTAAAGGAGGCCCTACTGGCTTTCAAGTCAACTTTGTGATGCGGCAGAGTAAACAGGGTTCACAGGTGTCACCGCAGCAGGCACCAGAGCGGTGGTGCTGCTCCCTAATGGGCTCTAAGCCTGCACTGTGGAGGAGGTGATGAATGTATGGATGGAAGCAGAACAAAGGCATAATCGGAGAAAACACACAAACACACCACCGACAGGAATGTGTTGGAATTTACTTTACTTTACAGTAAATAAAAACGAGCCTTGACTTTGTGGCCGTTCGCCACATTGGAACGCCACTGTCTTCATTGTCTGACGCAGCGCTGGAATGGCTGAAATGGCTAAAAGATTATTGCTTTATTGACCAGTGTCAGTCCTCTGGCCAGTACGCCAAGTAAATGCAGTGGGCGTCTGAGTGTAATTCAACAAACAGAGCCATTTAGTTAAAGCAGTCATTAACACTTTTCACTGTAAAGACATTAATCAACCATGACAGACGGGGGAGAATTGAATAAGTTAATAGATTTGTTTTTTTTTTTCCATCATGGCAACTTTCAAAAATGTCTTCATTTCCTCTTCTGAAGCCTCTCGACCCACTTTCTTTGATTTGTTTGCTCTTCCTACTTTCTTCCCGGATTGAGCCATATTGGAAATTCAAGAGTGTGTGTGTGTGTTTGACCCAAAACTGTCACTGTAAGAGAAATTTGGCCAGTGTTCACAACTTCATTTAATGACTCGCTGTGTATTCAAACAGTTTATTCAAGCTAGTGGCTCCAAAGGTGGTGTCGTGGTCCTGTTATGGTTAGGTGATGTCACTATACTTCTGTTTAAAATGAAGTTGAGTAGAGACTGATTGTGTTGGTGTGAGTGTACCAGTGGTGTGTTCTGATTTCACTCACATTTTCGGTAAAACAGTTCCATTTGTGTGAACTATTTTACTTTTATTGACACACAGTTTTCCCGCTCCTGCTTTCAAACTGTCTTCTGTTTTTGTTTTTTTTCTACTAATAGACACATGTTCAAAATCAGCACCATGATTGGACTTTGACCCTGCCAGATTCCTTTTATTTTGGTTTTAATAGTTGACTGTTGCATCAATAAATTTTGTCGTCGTCGTTCAGCCCCACATAACTTCATGTTTTGTTTTTGTCACAGAAGAGAAGGTCGGCGACAAAGTCCTTGACGAAAATTGCAAGTCGACAAAGTGAACACTCAGTCCTCACTACAGCAGTATCTCCCTGCAGTATTCTGTCAAATACTACCTCAAACCAGTGCTTTTAGATACATTATTTTTTCTTCTCGTGGCATCACTAATGTCTATTTTTTCTTCTGCATACATGTGTCTCTGCCAGAACCAAATACCACAACTTTCGACAAATAATAACAAAGGCAAAATAACATAGATTTGATGTTTTCCTGTTACTCAGCATTGCAACATTTGTGTCATTTTGTCAGGAAAAAAATGGTGAAATGCAAATTTGACTAAAAATGAGCTCCAGTTTTGTGGAGTGTGAATGTGGGTGGTTGTAGAAGTGCAAGACTCCATTGTAGAGCACAGTCTGGTGACAACAGTCAGCAGTGTGTTCTGTCATCCCACACCGGCTGAAACACGGGGGGAAAGAAATCAGATTCTTTAAAACAGTTGGTGAAATCCATAAAGCATGAGAAGAGTTTCAAGGTCAGAGCCGACTGACAGCACATGTATTTGTTTTTTCCCCCTGAGATTGAACCTCAATTACATGTCAAATTCCTACATAAATCGTCGAAAAAATGTTTCATTTATTCAGGAACCAATAGTGTGTGTATGTGTGTGTGGCGTTGTGTGGGTACTTTAATGAGTAATCTCCCACGTTCTGCGAGAATCTTTAATTTAAAAGTGCCCTTTAATGAATATAACACATTGTGTGGTAAGTCATTAACTTTGAAAGCAACAGTGATTGCTTTTGAAGGATTAGCGGGAGGAAAAAAATGTGTTGTTGCATTTAAAATGTGCCACGGTCATTTTTCCTACCAGGATTTATCGCGTTTGTAGTCAAGAGATAAACCTGAGATTAAACCAAAATAAAATGTGCCCTGAATAAAAAAAGTAAAGGTTTGGTGCACCAGTAGGTGAGGTAAATACTCTTCTAGAATTGTTACAGTTTTACCTGAAAACTCAGATGTTGTTCTGCAAATTCATTGACTTCATACGTCATGCTGCTAAACCCTTTGTAAGTCACAACAACATCATCATCATCTGTGCTCTGTAAACGGATGACCAGTTACCATGGAAATCTGCCATTAACCTCCAGTCATGTTCTCTTGTAATTGCCACTAGAGGGCTGGATGTAAACAGGCTGGATCCATAATTTTACACCACACATTTTGACATGAATTATTGTCCATTAATCCATCAAGAGCTTAGCTCCACATAGAACCGGTCCAAGGTTTGCACCGATTTGTCCCGAAAACTCATATATTTACTATTATGTCTCTGCCGTTGTCCTCAGGTGTCATCAGGACAGCTTTGCCCAACATGGACCGTGAGACCAGGGACCAGTATGTTCTTGTCATCCAGGCCAAAGACATGGTTGGCCAGATGGGCGGCCTGTCGGGCACCACCTCCGTCACCGTCATGCTCACCGACGTCAACGACAACCCGCCTCGATTCATTCACAGTAAGTTTTAACTTCAGCGTCAATGACTGTGTCGTGTTTGTCATATTTGGATTGTGCTACAGATACAGATACAGCAAAAGGTTCTTAAGAATCAACCAACAAATGGTTGAACCAAGTGAGAAAATACATTGAAATAATTGAATAAATGTATTGTCATTTTTGATCATTTTCCAAAATATAAAAAAACTTTACTTATACTACATTATAACTAGCAGCTCAGAATATACAGTTTTGAACTTTTCCGACCAAACCTTCCTGTATGACGTACACCACCCTGCTCAACTCTTCATCAGAGCTAGGGTTCACTGCTGGCATCGGACACAAGGATCAATTCAGCTCTGTCTTTTTTTCGCTGTCATCCAATTTCACTTCCTGCTAATGGTTTTCCAGACTAGTCTTGGAATTCAAAGATGCGCGGATCTTCTCAGGATAATCCGAAAGCTGGCAATCAGTTTACTGCTGATACCCCCACCCCAACCACCCACCCACCTGCCCTGTAGTGTTAGGTAATGGTTGTTGTGCTCAGTACTGGACTGCCTTGATGAGAAGTCAATTTTCCAGGTCCCTGAGGGAGAAGCAGATGGTTTCAAGTTTTCACCACAAGACGTTGAAGCCATTTGAAATGGAGTGTTGTAATACAGGCAAATGAAGAGACTCTGAAAGAGTTGTGGGTTTTTACTTCCACTGTCATGTTCACCTGCGGGGTCACGGGTCAGAATCGATAGACCATTAATTAGTATCAGTGCTGATGTAGTCCACGAGCTGTATCTATAGTCCTGAAGCAATGAGGTAAAAGAAGCCAAGGTTAGCTGCTGGAAAGGACAGACAGTGTGTGTGTGTGTGCGCGTGTGTGTGTGCATGAGGCGAAACGCGGGGAGGAAAGCAATTTTTTGGTCCTTTAAAGAGCTGCTATTCCACGGCAAATTAAAAAGCCATTATAAAGATTACATGGCGGCAAACAATGTCAGGCAGATTAGCATTTAGACAGTGGCAGAGGGAGACAGTGCGAGGAGCACAGAAAGGTCTGGTAATGAGCTCCACCATGGTGATTGGGAGATTATGATTATGACTATGATTCCCTCCTTTATTCCTGTTCGAGAGTTCTTTAAATCCAGGGGTCAGACAAAAGCTCAGGCAACACAAGAGCAGAGGTTCAGGGTAATAGAATGTTGGAGTGGACATTTCATCCTTTGCAGAGCAGCACAAGGATCCAAAAGAGACACCTGTACGCTGCTCACTTATTTTTTCTTATTTCAATAAAATGACAGCCTTATACAAGCAGGTACCACCCTTTTCTCTTTTTTGCCAAATTTGCTCACTCTATGCCTCTATGCTGATGACTCACTCATTTGATAATAGAACTTTGATACAATACATGCATTCAGATTACATTGTTTTTTGAAATAATATATATATATATACTGTATATATATATATAAAATATAAATCCAAGTTACTAATAAATTAGCTCTTTTATTGATTTTTTTAGATCAATGTGTCTATAGATGACAATTTTTTTTCTCTATACTGATGATATTACAGTCTGACTCTTTGCACAACTGTAACTCACTAATAATATAATTTTAATCATGCCTACATTTTGTTTAATGAACATAAACCCCTTGTGCAGTATGTTAAAAAATTGTATTTAACTATAAATGCTTAGTAGAAAAGGATTATTTTATTGGCTGAGTTGATTGATTGGCAAGATTGAATGTGGTCCGTTCCTTTTTGTTCCTATTTTCAATACATTAAAAATGGCACCATTTTCTTATCATCTGAGAGCTGAGCCTTTTTAAATGGCTTTCAGTCATTCTTTTTACATATAAGAAAGAAAGAAAACTCTTCGTGTTTTTTTAACCTTTGCTCACTCAAAATGACTTCTCACCTGACTGTCAGGATATCAAACCATTTTTCCATGTGTATCTATCAATAAATGATGTGGTTTATTGTCTGTTTTGTCTCCAAAGGATCTTTGTAAACATGTGATGTTATTTCCCTATCGGCTTTTCATTCAATTCTGCAAAATTCAATACATTCAAAAGCAAAAATTGGTATTTGTTGTTTTTCTCCATCTGAATAAATGCTGCTTTCCCCTTGAATTTTCTTCTGGCGGATCTTCAGTGAAAGCTTTATTCTGTGTGTGCCTGCCTGTGTTATGCAGCATGAATTTGAGGAAACAAAAAGTCAAATCAAAGCTGAAGCAAAAGAAAAAAAAAACTGCATTGTGAAGGTGAGTCGGTAGTGAAATGAGCACATCCATTACCAGCATCATCTTGTCTGTTTTTTTTTCCCCCAGAGAGTTATCAGTTCTCGGTGCCGGAGTCACTGCCGCTCCAGTCTGTGGTGGCCAGAATTAAAGCGGCCGATGCTGATATCGGTACCAACGCGGAGATGGACTACAGGATCATGGACGGAGACGGGCCCGGCATGTTCAACATAACAACGGACGAAGATACACAGGAAGGCGTGATCCTTCTGCTGAAGGTAGTACACAAAAACATACACAGGAATAAGTACCAGTTCTGTAGAAAACCAAAAATACTTTTGTATTTACGAATACTACAAATACTACAACCTGGCTCAATTGGTAAAGTTCTTTAAATCACAGACTTTTTTTATACATCATTAGTCGTAGGAGCAAACTGAGCGTTGGCCAAAAGTTGGAAATAGCAAAAAATTTTCTCAAGTGAAGAACAGTTTTATTATGTACTGTACATATTACATTGGAAGAAATAGATAAAGGTCAACCAAGAAATTCACCCCAAAATGTAACATGTAAATGTGTAAAACTTTAATAAAAAAAACTAACAAAAATAGCTTAAAGCGCACATGTAAATGGACAAAAGTAATACAAAAGTCACTAAAAAAGTGAGCCTTTGTGAGAATTCTTTTTTTTAAATAAATGTTTCTAATGCCAAGATTGGCTACAGGTCCAGAAATTGTATTTTTTTTTACAAATAAAGTGGCTCCTAATGCCAAGATTGGCTACAGGTCCAGATTACATACAATGTATTAATATTTTATCTGATTACTACACCATAAAACACTACAGTTTTTCCATGTGGATTTAAAGTCTTTTCATTACGGTTTTAAAAATTGATTTTGTGATTTACAAAAAAACAAAAAACACTTGTATCAGAAACTCAGCATATTAAAATATAAGGAGTCCCTTGGAAGCCAGTCAGTCTCATGAGACCATGCAACAGAATCATAAACCTGAATTCATGGCTGGCGCTCTGGGAGCCTCTTTACTGATGGCACCAATGTGGTCTACGGTCTGAGAGCAGACGTTTGGTCTCATGTTGGATTTTTAAAACATCATAGTTATTTACTGTATGGGTCACAAACCCTGTAACGACTATACACCTTACTGAATCACTACTGAATCAAATCACTCTTGCAGTACTACCTGCTGCTGTTCCCTGACAAACTCAAATCAGGTTCAGCAACTTGAACTTTTGGATATAAACTGACCAGCCTTCATCGTCCGCATGAGGCAAAAGTGAAAGTTGTTTTTCTTTAACCTTTAAAGATACAAAACCATTGGCTGGAATCTTCACAGTGAAACATTTGGCAGCGATGCTCACTGTGTTTCGTGCTCGTTTCATCTTCAGCACATCCGACTCAAAAGAGCAGAGAAACAGTGGGTCCATCCCACTAACAAGTGGGTCTATTCCCACTGCACTTTAAACCTAATAGACTGCAACATAATCTTCTGTGTCCTGAACCTCCTCTGTCCAAAAAACTGAGAAAAACAACAACATCAGCCACCACACTGGTGACGCTTCGTTTTATTACCTTTTAACATGGTCACTGGAGCTTCCCAACCGTACACACACAAAACATCCTGCTGCAGTAAACACATACACACACACACGCGCGCACTCATAAGACCACCAAACGCGATCAATCCATAGTTGAAAATGGGCCACAATAAATGTAGTATTTCCTGGAAAACAACATTAGGCTGCTGTTAAGGGACGACCCTGAGCTCCTTTTTTAAAAGTATAATTAGATATCAGGTTTAACGTCTTCAGCTCGGGGCTATGAACCAAGAGTTGTGATGGTCAACACACAATTGGTTTCCAATAGTGTTTTAATTTTTAACAACCCCAGGGACGGTGTTAGGGTTAGTTAAATTTCCTACAAAGAAGCATTTATCGAACACCAGGACTGTTTTTTTTCCCCAACTGTTACTGAATAATTCACTGACTCCAGTTTCATCTGTTACTGAATAATTCACTGACTCCAGGATTGTTGGTGATGTTGAGACTTGGAGTTTTTTTAGGTGCTTTTTCAGATACACCATAATTTTAATGGGATTCTTAAAGGTGCTGATAAATAAAAAATATGATCCAGGTTTAAGTGCTGAAATTTAAAATCCTTGAAAATTCCAACTTTATTTCTTTTGAAAACAAAAAAAATGAAGCTACAAAAACAAGTAATTAGTGCAAATACTTTAACCAGAAGTTGATAAGAGATAAAAACAAAACAAACGTATTTTACATGGGCTCAAGAAAAAAAAATAAATTATATATTTGTTTAAAACTGAAAACAGATTTGCTTAAATAATATATAAATAAAATGACCAAAGTCAAAAAGGAAAGTAAGTCAAAGCTGTTTAAAAAAAAAAAAACATGATTCCATAAAATGTAATAAATAAAACAAACAGTTTCACTTGTGTTTTCAACTCTTTCAGCTCTGATCTGCTCACTGCCTGCTGCAGTAATGCTTGTTCATTTCAGTTCAGCTTCCTCTCCTCGTTTCCCATCGTCTCCTCCTCCTTCTGCTTCCATCTTCCTGTGTCTCAAAGCGTCTCCCGCTCCTTTGGGATTAAGTGATAATCACTAATGACAAATCAACAGCGACTATCTCCGACACCTCTGATCGCTGTAAACATCCCACGGTCAACAGAGGGTTTACTACCAGGGCAGAGCCGGGCTGAAGATTTGTGCTTTCTACAGAGAGGAGAAGACGGCACTGAGATCACTGTAGTGATTGATGAAGGGAACACAGAGAGAAAGAGAGAGACCAGAGAGACTCTGGAAAAACACGGCTCTCACCGAGGGAACGGAGATAAAGCTATAAATAATGTCATCGGCGTCCGCCTACATGCATAAATAAATAAAGCATCTCAAGTTAAACATGTAACAAAGACACTTATTCATCCAAACAGGACGTTTCTTACACGTTCTTGCCTCATCGCAGCCCGCATCTCACATTTTCGGAGTGTCGGAGAACTTGAAGTGGTCTCCTTGGGCCGTGCTCGTGTGACGCTTCAACGCTGCGGCTCTTTTGTATCAGACAAAACACCAAACTAAACGTTAGACTCCAGCAAATCTCGTCAGCGGGGCCAGGTTCGGTCTGTGTTTTGTGTGTTTGTTTTGCAGCAAACTCGAGACAATTACAACGCAGACAATGAAAGTGTCAAATCAATGCTCACCTCAAGTGTATTATGTTTTGCAACGGGGAGTTCAATGAGCTAGAAGAAGATGAAAAAAAATGACAAAATGATTCACGTTTCATTTCCAAATGTTTTCACAATATGTCATGACTTTATTTTTCTTGTTTGTTTTTTTTTTCAAATCAATATAAATGCTTTCACAGCACAAACAAGATAAAACTGATCTGTGAACAAAAGGCCTTTTTTTTTAAGTCTGACTGTTTTTTTGTTGTAAATAGTCTGTGGAGGCGTCGTCCTTTTGACATGATCATATAATATGTGTTCTTTGTCTCTGTTTTACCTCAGCCTTTGGACTTTGAAACAAAGAGCAGCTTTGCCCTGAGAATCGAGGTCACCAACAGGAATATCGACTCCAACTTCCTGAGCTTGGGTCCGTTTAGCGACACCACGTCAGTCAAAGTGACGGTGGAAGACATGAATGAGCCGCCAATCTTCTCCTCGCCACTCAGCAAGATGGTTGTCTCAGAAGATGCCAGAGTGGGCACCTCAATCGGGAGGGTGTCTGCTCACGACCCGGACGTCACCAACAGCAACATCAGGTAGAAAAAAAACCTTGTGAGGTTATATTACTGGATGTCATGTTAACATTTTTAGTAAAAGGGAGGAGGGAGGTCCAACATCAAGTGTTTCTTCTCAACACACGTCAAACCAAACCAAAGGTCTGGAGAAGAACACACCACGATACACTTGTTTTACCAATTTGAAAACTACATTTTTTTGGAATTTTTTCTCCGTACCCATCATTAAAATATCTTTAATTTCTTTGATTTACTTTTGCTAAATATTATTTTTCTAAGATCAAGTCCAAGATTCCCAAAGGCTCCCAGTAAAAAAAAAAAAAGTCTAATTGTTTAAACCATTCAAGTACTCCCTGCAATCTACGCACACAAAGACTCTCACCGACCCTCAAAATTCCCGATGTGGCTCGTCTCAAAGACTGTGCCAGATGGCGTGCGGTCCGAGGAGTGCAGCATTTGCAGAATCAAAATGCCAATTTAAAACAAGAGAA